GACCAATGCGGCCCAGTTTGACCAATGCCGGCCCAGTTTGACCAGTAAGGGCCCAGTTTGACCAGTAACACCCCAGTTTGACCAGTAACACCCCAGTTTGACCAGTGACACCCCAGTTTGACCAGTAACGGCCCAGTTTGACCAGTAAAGGACCAGTTTGACCAGTAAAGGCCCAGTTTGACCAGTAAAGGACCAGTTTGACCAGTAAGGGCCCAGTAAGGGCCCGATTTGACCAGTGATGGCCCAGTTTGACCAGTAACGGCCCAGTTTAACCAGTAAAGGACCAGTAAGGTCCCAGTTTGAGCAGTTTAACTTCCTCCCAGTGCCCTCCAGTCCCTCCCAGTCCCCCCCATTTCCCTCCCAGTTCCTCCCAGTCCCCCCCATTTCCCTCCCAGTCCCTCCCAGTCCCCCCCATTTCCCTCCCAGTCCCTCCCAATCCCTCCCAATCCCCTCCCAGTCCAAACCAGTATCCCCAGTAGGATTTTTACTCTCTCAAGTGTTTATTTCGGGAGGGTCCCGTTTTGGGGGGTCCCTTTTAGGCTCTCCCAGTTTGGGGGGGTTTGAGGGAGTCCCAGTTTGGGGGTCCCCAGCAGCCCCCCAGTTCCTCCAGCGCCGCCGGACCCTCCCCCAGAACTGCAGGGGGTCCTGGGGGAGGAGGAGAGGAAGAGGAGGTCAGAGGACCTGAGACCCCTGGGGTTTGGGGGGTTTGGAGGGTCCTGGAGGATTTGAGGGGTTTGAGGGGGATTTACGGAGGGATTGGGGGGGTTTGGGGGTCCTGGGGGTTTGGGAGGAGGAGGAGGGGATTTGGGGGGGGTTTGGGGGGTCCTGAGGGGAGGGAAAGGAGGGGTCAGGGGGACTCCAGAGACCCCGGGGGTTTGGGGTGATTTGGGGGTCCTGGGGGGATTTGGGGGTTTGAGGGGGATTTGGGGGTCCTGGGGGGTTTTGGGGGAGATTTGGGGAAGGTTTTGGGGGGTGTTTGGGGGGTTTGAGGGTCTGGGGAGGGAAGGGAAAGAGGAGGGTCAGGGGGACCCCTAGAGACCCAGGGTTTGGGGGATTTAGGGGGTCCTAGGGGGATTGGGGAGATTTTGGGGGGTTTGGGGGAGGATTTTGGGGGGGATTTGTGGGGGTTTGGGGGTCCTGGGGGGAGGAGGGGTCAGGGGAACCTCAAAGACCCCCAGGGTTTGAGGGAGATTTTGGGGGGTTTTTTGAGGGGTTGTTTTGGGGTGTTTTGGGGGTATTTTGGGGGTATTTTGGGGTGTTTGGAGAGATTTTGGGGTGGTTTTGGGGGTATTTTGGGGACTTTTTGGGGTATTTTGGGGTGGTTTTGGGGGTATTTTTGGTGTTTTTGGGGTGGTTTTGGCACTCACTGTTTTGGGGGTTGGGGTATTTTGGGGTATTTTGGGGGTTTTGGGGGTATTTTTGGGGTGTTTGGGGGGTATTTTGGGTTTTTCTGGGCTATTTTGGGGTGGTTTTTGGGGGGTTTTGGGGACTTTTAGGATTTTGGGGTGGTTTTGGGGTATTTTTGGGGTGTTTTAGCCACTCACCGTTTTGGGGTGATTTGGGCTGTTTTTGGGGGGTATTTTGGGGTGTTTTTGGGGTGTTTTAGGGGTATTTTGGGGTATTTTTGGGTGTTTTGGGGTATTTTGGGGTATTTTTGGGTGTTTTGGGGTATTTTTGGGTGTTTTGGGGGTATTTTGGGGGTATTTTGGGGGGGTTTTGGGGTATTTTGGGGGGTTTTTGTGGTATTTTGTGGTATTTTCGAGTGTTTTGGGGGTATTTTGGGGTATTTTTGGGTGTTTTGGGGGTATTTTGGGGTGTTTTTAGGGGTGTTTTTGGCACTCACCGTTTTGGGGGACCCCGCCCTGCAGGTGATGTGGACGAGGAGGGGCCCGTCCGCCCCTCCCCCCACGTAGGAGACCCCGTACCCGTCGGGGTGGGGCTGGGGGAGGGGCAGGGACAACCAGTAACACCAGTGCCCTCCCAGTGCCCTCCCAGTAACCCCCAGTGACCTCCCAGTAACACCCAGTGCCCTCCCAGTGCCCTCCCAATAACCCCCAGTGACCTCCCAGTGACCTCCCAGTAACCCCCAGTGACCTCCCAGGGACAACCAGTAACCCCCAGTGACCTCCCAGTAACCCCCACTGCCCTCCCAGTCACCCCCAGTGACCGCCCAGTAACCCCCAGTGCCCTCCCAGTGAGAACCAGTTACCTCCCAGTGACCCCCAGTGCCCTCCCAGTAACCCCCAGTGCCCTCCCAGTGAGAACCAGTTACCTCCCAGTGACCCCCAGTGACCTCCCAGTAACCCCCCGTGCCCTCCCAGGGAGAACCAGTAACCCCCAGTGAGAACCAGTGACCTCAAAGTAATCCCCAACGCCCTCCCAGTAACCCCCAGCGACTCCCAGTAACCCCCAGTAACTCCCAGTGAGAACCAGTGAGCACCAGTAAAACCCAGTGCCCTCCCAGTGCCCTCCCAGTGCCCTCCCAGTTTCCCCCAGTACCCACCGGGTTGAAGCCCCCCCCCGCGGGTTGCAGGGGGCGGGGCAGCAGGGGTGGGTGTGGCCGGGGGGCGGGGCTAAATGACAGAGCCCAGGGCTGGCCCAAAACCTGGGGGGGAGGGGGGGGGAATATGCAAATGACACCACGCCCCCACCACTCAGACCACGCCCCCTTTAAAAAGCCACGCCCATTAAGCCTCAACCCCTTCCCAGCCCAATTGGCCACGCCCCCTTCTGGCCACACCCACCCTCTTTGTTTTGGCCACGCCCTTTTTTGGCTCCTCCCATCTCAAAAAGGTCCCGCCCCCCACTCTGGGACCACACCCATATAAGGAAATTAGCGAGGCCACGCCCCTCCTGAAGCCACGCCCCATCAGACCCCGCCCTTCCCTGGCCACGCCCACATTGCCTTATATGGTAATAGCTGTTCTAAGCTCCACCCCTCCATGGCCCCGCCCACTCCCCATCACAATCAGGGCCACACCCACTCCCAAAGCTCCACCCCCTCATCCAAGACCACACCCCCTTCAAAAGCTCCTCCCCTTTCCAGGCCCCGCCCATTTGAAGCTCCACCCCTCCTAGACCACACCCCCTCCTCAGACCACGCCCCTCCCAAAAGCTCCACCCCTTCATTTCCAGACTCCTCCCTTTTTAAAGCTCCACCCTCCAAGACCACCCCTCCTCAGACCACGCCCCTCCCAAAGCTCCACCCCATTTTCAGCCCCACCCCTTTAAGCTCCACCCCTTGGCCAAGACTACACCCATCAGACCCACGCCCTCCAAAGCCCCTCCCCAATCAAGCCCCACCCCCTCAAGCTCCACCCTTGGCCAAGACCACACCCATCAGACCACACCCCTTGAAAGCCCCTCCCCCTCATTTCCAGGCCCCTCCTCCTTTTAAAGCTCCACCTCCTCCTAGACCACACCCATCCTCAGACCACGCCCCCTCCCAAAGCTCCACCCCTCATCCAAGACCACACCCCTCCAAAAGCTCCTCCCCCTTCCAGGCCCCACCCATTTCAAGCTCCACCCCCCGAGACCACACCCCCTCAGACCATGCCCCCTCCCAAGCTCCACCCATTTCCAGACCCCTCCCCTTTTAAAGCTCCACCCCTTCCAAGACCACACCCCTCCTCAGACCACGCCCCTCCCAAGAAGCCCCACCCCCATCCCCAAGCCCCTCCCCCTTTCCCAAGCCACGCCCACCTGGATGAGGAAGGGTGGGCGGAGCCTCATCTGATTGGCCACGGCCGCCAGGCCCTGCAGGTGCCGGTCCAGCCCCGCCCCCGTCATGGCCGCCCGGCGGCGACCACGCCCCTCGGACAGCGCCGAGAGCAGCAGGGACCGACGGCGGGAAAGCTGGGACAGAGACCCCCAAATCAACCCTGAGACCCCCAAAATATCCCCCAAAAACCACCCAAAACCCCATCCAGAAACCCCCCAAATCAGGGACCCCAAAATCCCCCAAAATCCCCCCAATGAGGGACCCCCCACGCCCCTCGGACAGCGCCGAGAGCAGGAGGGAACGACGGCGGGAAAGCTGGGACAGAGACCCCCAAATCACCCAAAATATCCCCAAAAATATCCCCAAAACATCCCCCCAAAAACCACCCCAAAAACCACCCAAAATATCCCCAAAATATCCCCCCAAAATCCCCCCAATGAGGGACCCCCCACGCCCCTCGGACAGCGCCGAGAGCAGCAGGGACCGACGGCGGGAAAGCTGGGAGAGAGACCCCCAAAATCAACCCTGAGACCCCCAAAAACCACCCAAAAACCACCCCAAAACTCCCCAAAACATCCCCAAAATCCTCCCAAAATATCCAAAACCACCCCAAAATATCCCCCAAAAATATCCCCATATCGAGGGACCCCACGCCCCTCGGACAGCGCCGAGAGGAGCAGGGAACGACGGCGGGAAAGCTGGGATAGAGACCCCCAAAATCACCCAAAATATCCCCAAAAATATCCCCAAAATATACCCAAAAACCACCCCAAAAACCACCCAAAATATCCCCAAAATATCCCCAAAAACTCCCCCCAATGAGGGACCCCCCACGCCCCTCGGACAGCGCCGAGAGCAGCAGGGCCGACGGCGGGAAAGCTGGGACAGAGACCCCCAAAATCACCCAAAATATCCCCCAAAATCACCCAAAATATCCCCAAAATATCTCCCAAAATATCCCCAAAATATACCCAAAAACCACCCAAAACATCCCCAAAATATCCCCAAAATCCCCCCAATGAGGGACCCCCCACGCCCCTCGGACAGTGCTGAGAGCAGCAGGGACCGACGGCGGGAAAGCTGGGACAGAGACCCCAAAAATCACCCAAAATATCCCCAAAAAATCCCCAAAATATACCCAAAACTCCCCCAAAATATCCCCAAAATATCCTGCAAAAATCACCCAAAAATCACCCAAAATATCCCCAAAATATCCCCCAAAATATCCCCCCAAAACACCCCAAACATCCCCCCAAAACCCACCATTTACCCTCCAATTAACCCCCAATTAAATCCCCAATTAATCCCCATTAACTCCCAGTTAACCCCAATTAACACTCCATTCACCCCTCATTAACTTCCATTAACCCCCAATCAATCCCCCAATTAATTACCCAATTGCACCCCAATTAACCCAAATTACCCCCAATTAACCTTCTCTTAACCCCCCATTAACCCCCCAATTAACCCTCAATTAACCCCCCATTAACACCCCATTAACCCTCAATTAACTGCCCATTAACCCCCCAATCAACCCCCCAATTAATCCCCAATTAACTCCATAATCAACCCCCAGTAACTCCCCATAAACCCCCCAATTAACGCCCAATTAATTCCCTGTAAACCCCCCATTAACAACCAATTAACCCCCAATTAGCCCCCAATTAACCCCCCATTAACCCCCAATTAACCCCTCATTAACCCCCAATTAACCCCCAGTTAACCCCAATTAACCCCCATTAACCTCACTTGCCCCATTAACCCCCAATTAACCCCCCAATTACCTCCCAATTAACCCCATTAACCCCCAATTAGCCCCCAATTAACCTCCCAAATTAACTCCCCATTAACCCCCAATTACTTTTAATTAACCCCAATTAACCCCAATTAACCCCCCATTAACCCCCAATTAACCCCTCAATGACCCCCAATTAATTCCCCATTAACTCCCCACTAACACCCAATTAACCCCTCCATGACCCCCAATTAATTCCCCATTAACCCCCAATTAACCCCCCCAATTAACCCCCTAATTAACCCCAATTAACCCCTAATTGGGGGGTGTCTCACGGGGGTCCGGGGGTCTCGCAGGGCCCGCTCGAGCTCCAGCAGGGGGCGCCCCACGCCCAGCGCCGCGTCCGCCCGCCCCTCACGATAGAGACGCGTCGTGATTGGCTGGTACGACAGGGCGGGGCCACGCTCCTGGGGGAGGAGAGAGCTGATTGGCTGGGAGGAAAGGGGCAGGGTTACATCGTGAGATGTGATTGGCTGGGTATGACAGAGGCGAGGCCACACTCCTGGGGAGGAGACACACGCCATTGGCTGGGAGGAAAGGGGGCGGGGCCACATCCTGAAATGGGATTGGCTGGGAGGAAAAGGGGTGGGGCCTCACTCTGAGATGTGATTGGTTGGGAGGAAAGGGGCGGGGCCGCACTCCTGGGGAGGGGAGAGAGCTGATTGGTTGGGAGAAAAAGGGGGTGGGGTTATGCTCTGAGATGTGGTTGGTTGGGAGGAAAAGGGGCAGGAGCCTTACTCTGAGATGCAGTTGGTTGGGAGGAAAGAGGGTGGGGCTGCGCTCCTGGGGAGGAGAGATGTGATTGGCTGGGAGGAAGAGAGGAGGGCCACTCTCTAGTCGTGATTGGTTGGGTTAAGGGAGGGGCTGACTTGCTCCTGGGGTCAAGTTCAGGGGTCACCTGGGGTCATGGGGGGTTTAGAAGTCCCCAGAATCCATTTTGGGGTCCAGAATCCATTTGGGGGTCCCAGGGTTCATTTGGGGGTGTCAGGGTCCAGTAGGGGTCCCAGGAGTCCAATTTCGGGGCTCTCAGAGGTGATTTTGGGGGTCCCAAGGCCCATTTTGAGAGTCCCAAGGTCCATTTTGGGGGTCTCACCTGACCAGGGCCCATTTTGGGGGTCCCAGGGTCCATTTGGGGGGTCCCAGAGTGGTTTGGGGGTCTCCTGACCAGGGCCTGGGGCTCTCAGGGTGGTTTGAGAGGTTCCAGGGGCTCGGTTTTGGGGTCTCCTGACCAGGGCCGATTTTAGGGGGGTCCCAGGACCATTTGGGGTCCCAGAGTGCATTGGGGGTCCCAGGGCTGGTTTTGGGGTTCCCAAGGTCCCATTTGGGGTCTCACTGACCAGGGCCCATTTCGGGGTTCCCAGGAGGCTGGTTTGGGGTCCCAGGGGTGGGTTTTGGGGGTCCCAGGTCCATTTGGGGGTCTCACCTGACCAGGACCAGCTCAGGGCCAGAGGCCAGCAGCTCCTCCTCGTGGGGGCTCTGGGGGGGTCCCGGGGGGGTCCTGGGGGGGCTTCCAGGAGTCACCACGTGGAGCTGAAGGTCTGAGGCCATGGCCTGGAACTCCCCCCGGGCCTGGGGCAGCATCTTCAGGATCTACACCCCAAAAAACAGCCCAAAATACACCAAAATAGACCCAAAAATGGGCCTGGAACGCCCCCCGGGCCTGGGGCAGCATCTTCAGGATCTACACCCCAAAAACAGCCCAAAAATACACCAAAATAGACCCAAAAATGGGCCTGGAACGCCCCCCGGGCCTGGGGCAGCATCTTCAGGATCTGCACCCCAAAAAACAGCCCAAAAATACACCAAAATAGACCCAAAAATGGGCCCAGACACCCCCCGGGCCTGGGGCAGCATCTTCAGGATCTGCACCCCAAAAACAGCCCAAAAAAACCCAAAATACCCCAAAAAACAGCCCCAAAAACACCCCAAAAAACACCCCCAATCTGAGCCCAGAGACCCCCAAAACCCCCCTAAACTGAGCCCAAAATACCCCAAAAACCACCCCCAAAATGGGCCCAGAGACCCCTCCAAAAACACCCCCAAAATACACCCAAAATACCCCAAAAACACCCCCAAAATACCCCAAAAAACACCCCCAAAATGGGCCCAGAGACCCCCCGGGCCTGGGGCAGCATCTTCAGGATCTGCACCCCAAAAACAGCCCCAAAATACACCAAAATAGACCCAAAAATGGGCCCAGAGACCCCCCGGGCCTGGGGCAGCATCTTCAGGATCTGCACCCCAAAAACAACCCAAAAACACCCAAATAGACCCAAAAATGGGCCTGGAACTCCCCCCGGGCCTGGGGCAGCATCTTCAGGATCTGCACCCCAAAAACAGCCCCAAAATACACCAAAATACCCCAAAAAACACCCCCAAAATACCCCAAAAAACACCCCCAAAATGGGCCCAGAGACCCCCTGGGCCTGGGGCAGCATCTTCAGGATCTGCACCCCAAAAAACAGCCCAAAAATACCCAAAATAGACCCAAAAAACACCCCCAAACTGAGCCCAGAGACCCCTCCAAAACCAGCCCCAAAATACCCCCAAAATACCCCCCAAAAACACCCCCAAAAAACAGCCCCAAACTGAGCCAAAAATTCCCCAAAAATGGCCCCAAACTGAGCCCGAAGAGCAACAAAAAGACCCAAAATAAACCCAAAATATCCCTCCCAGTCCCTCCCAGTGCCTCCCAGTCGCTCCCAGTGCCCCCAATCCTCCCAGTGCCCTCCCAATCCCTCCCAGTGCCCTCCAATCCCTTCCCAGTGCCCCCAATCCCCTCCCAGTGCCCCCAATCCCTCCCAGTGCCCCCAGTGCCCCCAATCCCCTCCCAGTGCCCCCAATCCTTTCCAGTCCTCCCAGTCCCTCTCAGTTCCTCCCAGTGCCTCCCAATCCCCTCCCAGTCCCTCCCAGTGCCCCCAACCTTCCTCCTCCCAGTCCCTCCCAGTGCTCCTTTATCACCCCTCCCAGTTCCTCCCAGTACCCCCAAACCTTTCCAGTCCATCCCAGTGCCCCAGTCTTCTCCCAGTGCCCCCAATGCCCTCCCAATCCCTCCACTCCCCTCCCAGTCCCTCCCAGTGCCTCCCAGTGGCTCCCAGTGCCCCAGGGTGTTACCTGTGGGGGAGGTCCCAGTGCAGCTCCTGGGGGGGCTCAGGAGAGTCCCCCGCCCGCCCCTCCCCTGCAGCCCCCCTCTCGTAGCCGAGGCTCCGGTCCAGGGACAGCGAGAACTGGGGGGACTCCAAATTTGGGGAGGGGGTCAGAGGGACCCCAAAGTTGGGGGAGGGGAGATCAGAGGGGACCCCAAGTGGGGGAGGGGGTCAGGGGGACCCAAAATCTGGGGAGGGGGAGGGGCAGGGGCCCAAGCTGGGGGGAGGGGAGGCAGGAGCTCCCAGAACCCGGGGAAGGGGGGGTCATGGGGACCCAAATCTGGGGAGGGGAGGGCAGGAGACCCCAAATTTGGGGAGGGACCCCAAATTTGGGGAGAGGGGGTCAGAGGAACCCCAAATTTGGGGAGGGGAAGGGCCCAAAAATTTGGGAAGGGGGGTCAGGGGGACCCCTAATTTGGGGGAGAGGGGAGGGTGACCCCAAAATTTGGGGGAGGGGAGCAAAATAATGGGGGGAGGGACCCCAAATTTGGGGAGGGGGGTCAGGGGGCTCCCAAATTTGGGGAAGGGGGAGGGGCAGGGGGACCCCAAATTTGGGGGAGGGGGTCAGGAGGACCCTAATTTGGGAAGGGGGTCGGGGGACCACTAATTTGGGGGAGGGGGGAGGGGGACCTCAAGAATTTGGGGGGAGGGGGCAAAATAATGGGGGGAGGGGCCCAAATTTGGGGAGGGGGAGAGGGCAGGTGGGGACCCCCAAATTTGGAGGGAGGGGAGGTCAGGGGGGACTCCCAAATTTGGGGAGGGGGTTGGGGGACCCCAAATTTAGGGGAGGGGGGGTCAGGAGGGACCCCAAAATTTGGGGGAGAGGAGACAAAATAATGGGGGAGGGGAAAATCGGGGAGGGGACCCCAAAATTTGGGGAGGGGGTCAGGGGCTCCCAAATTTGGGGGAGAGGGGACAAAATAATGAGGGGAGGGGTCCAAACTTGGGAAGGGGGGGGGAGGGAGACCCCAAATTTGGGGGGTTTGGGGGCTTCAGGGGGGGTTTGGGGGGGTCCCCAGGGGTTGGGGGTCCCATTTTTTGGGGTACCTCCCAGACGTGCCTGAATATGGGGAGGGTCCTTGGGGTTTGGGGGATTTGGGGGGATTTGGAGGGGGTCTGGGGGGTTTTGGGGTCCCCGATTTGAGAGTAGTTTAGGGGTCCGAGGGGGTCCCGGGGTCCCATTTCTGGGGTACCTCCCAGAGGTGCCCAAATATGAGGGAGGTTGGGGGAGGCTCTGGGGGGATTTTGGGGGATTTTGGGGTCCCCGGTTTTGAGGGGGTTGGGGTTTCAGGGGAGTTTTGGGGGTCCCCAGGGGTTGGGGGGTCCCATTTT